GTGTGTGTGTGTGTGTGTGTGTGTGTGTGTGTGTGTGTGTGTGTGTGTCAGTGGCAGAGCCAGACATTTTTCTCAGGGGTGACCAGACTGGGACCACTGCTCACACAGGGATGGCCAGGAAAATGACATCATTTTTTACTTGAAAATTTCTGAAAATCTTTGTGGTTTGGTCATTTCCTCATGTCCTCATACAGGCAGTGACTACCTTATAAACATGGTGTCAGAACCATTTTAAAAGTGGGGGGACACACTGTTGGGGGGTTTGGGGGTCCTCCCCCAGAAAATTTTGAAGAAAATAGATGCCATTTCTTGCATTCTGGTGCATTTTATCAGGTTGTTTAACATACTTTTACCTACATAAATAAACACTTGATTTAATTATTTCATAGACAGATTATTCATTAAACTATTTCCATCATCCTGTTTTTAAACTCACTGCTATATCTGAGATAAGGTTAATTAATGTGACACAATTTATCATATCCATTGACTATAGGGGTGCTTTTTACTTTTATATTGTTTATTGATTTATTTGTAATTATAACACTGTGCCAAATAATGGCGACCCTCAACTGCATGTTTAAAACTAACACTAATATTTTTACCCAGGTGCAATATTGATAACCACCAACAGTGAATTTAGAGGGTGTTTCACTTTTTCTGATTTAGTGATAGGCCTACTCATAACCAAACACAGAGCATCATTCAGCCTTCATAACATAAAATGACACTGTGTTATGGTGACAAAAAACAAAACAAAACAAAAAAAAATTTGTCAACATAAGTTCAAAAGTTGACACCATAAGTCAGATTACATAAGCATATGTTCTGCATATAAAAAAAAACCATGACTTCCTTATCATTACTCTTCCTCAGTGATAGAGCTTGGTAATGTTTCAAACTGTTAAACACTGCCACCAACTGTTCAGGAGGATTATTACACCCCTAAAGGTTGTTTCACTGTGGAAGGGGTGTGTACAGCAGGGTGGCCAAAGATTTGTCTGTGGTGGTCATCTCCGGTCATCATTTACCCAGAATGCTTTGTGTGTAAATAAAATGGCTCMGTCCATTTTAAAATATATTTTTAAAAATTACTAAACTGAACAGCCTACAGTATTTTTACATTCTTTATTTTACAGTTACAGTAAATGTTTATCAAATAAAGTTTAATGTTACAACTAATCGTGGATCCCTTTAACAAGGCTTTATTGTTCACCGAAACACTGCTTCCTGGATAATTTCTATTTTTTGGGTCATTCTCCTCAAACCCTGAGATGACAGTAGATCAGCAGTTTGTGAAATAAAAGATACTTAAATCCTCTTCCTTCCTCATTCTAATGCCCGGTTTGAACTTTGTAAAGTCGTCTACATGTCTGAAGGCCTTGAGCTGCTGCCATGTGATTGGCTGATTAGTTATATTAGTTAAATTAATGTACATAAAGTGGGCAGTGAGTGTACACATAAATACTGATGACTGAAGGCAAACATGACAACAGACTGCAAAGAAAAATCTGATGTTTTTTCAGATTATTTTGAGTCATTATCAGAGAAATTCAAATAATATATTTTTAATAAACAAAAACTAGGATGTTTCCCTTTGTCGTAACTTCCTGTTTCACTTCGGTTTAACCTAAAATATGGCACTTGTGTGATAAAATGGGTAAAATCCTATGTTTTGTGCCAAGTTTTTTAAATATTAAGATGTTTTCTTTCACTTTTTAGTTTACTCTTCTGAAATCAGCTGTCTGTAAGATCAGCTCATCCTGCAGGCTGACACCTAACAGGTATCCCTCAAACGTTTGGTAAGCAGTGGAGAGGACAGCTGCCAGCACATTCAGCCACATGCTGTGCAGGGTGGTCACATAGACCACCACAAAGTACATGTTCGTGGCATACACGCCCAGGATCACCAGCCCTCTGATTTTATAAACCCTGCAAAGCGACAGGAAGATACTTTAGCAAGGGTCCAGAAGTAGAGGAGTAGCRAGTCATTTGGCTCCAGATCTGAAGAGGGAGATCAACTTACAGCCCGTTGACAAACTCATTCATCAGAGACGGCAGACTGGTGAAGGTGAGGATGATGATGAGGGCGAATGGCAGCTGGGAGATGAGAAGAGAAGAGGGGAGAGTAGTGTACGGTATGTATTACACTACAGCTCAGTCATCTTGTTTCACTTCCATAAAAACACTAACAGTTCAACACTGTAACACCGGGTGGCACCACAATTACACTTTGTGATATTATGTCTGTACTGACTGAGCTGGATGATTTACATTCATCTGTGTATTAATCTCTTACAGAAAATAACATCCAGAAACATAACATAATGTTTAATCTCAAGCTCTATAACAAAATGTGTTAGCACCCAGAGTAAGTCTCTCAGCAACTACCACATCAAATTTGAGCTGTAAAACTGTCAGTTTTCTGTCGGCTAACGTTGATTAGCTGTTATGGCTACTTTGAACTGGATGAACTTTAGAAGTTATTTACGTTCACTTTACATTCATTAAAACCCCTCCAGTGGTTCATGATGTATTCTGAAAACTGTTTGATGCAGGGATGTTCAGTAGCAAACAAGCTGTTTGCTTGTTGCTTTTTCTTAAAAAATAAAAACTCACAAAGTTCGCTGAATTTTCTTGAAGCTGATAAAAGAGAAAAAAACATAAAATCAGCTAATAAAAACCAATCAAGGCTTTTGAAATTTGGTTCAACAGAACTTTTTAAAAATAATTCATCAATTTTTAAAAAAACAAGATGGCAAATTAACTTGACCTCAGGAACGTGTTAAACTCAGGTGTGCCCTGTAATCAATACACCTGTAGTCACAGGGCTGTCTGGAATCATGGTGTGAAACACACGGAACATGGAGTCATGTTAAAGACAAAGACTATCAGACTGTCTCCAAACATCTGGATGTTCTGTGACTGCAGCTGCTCAGTCCACAGGACCGGAGACAACGGATGTGTCCACAAGAGGACAGCTGATGACAAATTGAAGAGAAAGAAAATACAAAGAGTCCAGAACAACTTCCAGACAGATCAGAGGAGAACTCTAAGGTCAAAGGTCATCAGAGTCAGATCAGATCATCAGTCTGTTTGAGACAAATCAGATCTGTTTGTTCAGGGTACGATGAAATCTGAAGACTATCAAGGCCTTCTGGAGCTAAATGTGCTGCTCGGTGTCAGAAAACCTGGTCTCAGCTGCAGCTCCTGGGCCCTCCAACAAGAAAATAACCCTAAATCAGTGTCCTTCTGAGCCCGGATCTAAATCCTGGAGGAGGAACCCTTCAGACCTGAGACAGCTGGAGAAGTTTGTTCATAAAGAATGGACCAGAACACCTGTTGACAGGTGGACCAGAACATCCAGTGACAGGTGCAGAAGTCTCAGAGTTACAGAAACAACTTGGTTGCCCGTCTGGACATACAGAATTAGGTAAAGGTACGGTAAGAAATATTCGCATTCAAAGACTGAAGTCATTAGAAAACCACCAATGTTAAATAATATGATTGTTAGACGAGATAAAACCATACAAAACCAGAATTCTGGAGTGAGGATTTAATGCCATTCGGATCGGACAGGAAACCACACACTGCCGAAAAGCCAGGAAATTGATCCATTTATAGAGTCTTTAATGCCCGCGTTCGCCCCCTACTGACCTACGGCTGAATCACGGGCATCCATACACAATTCTCCCCTACATGTTCTCATAACGGATAAATATGTGTTGTTATAGATATTTCGGACATGTAACTAATCTATATCAACCAACACATTATAGATTAACCATTATAAAAAGGAAAACCTAAAAATATAGTGTTGTGCTTTTAACATCAGTACTAATCTGTAAAAACTATAAATTTCTTCAGTACCATTCTTTTTGTTGAGTCTAGTTTAACAATTGAGACATTTTGGTGTTTTCACCTTCTGCCTCCCTGATTGGCTGGTAGTGCTCATTCGTCTCACCTGTGAGGGATTGGCTCGTTACTCCCAGGCTTTATAAGGTTGCCTTGAGGATCAGTTCATCGCTGAAGCATCACTACTGTTTGGTAATGATCTCAGAGCCCGTTACTAGTCTCAAAGATACCTGACTTAACTAACCTTCGTGTTTTTATACCTACTTTTTCCAGACTGAAGAAAGTTTTCAGAGATTCTCTGATCCTGCCACACCTGTCTGAGGACCTAGAGCCATTCACCTGATCGTTCATGCGCTGCCTGTTTGCCTCCAACTCACCTGTAAATAAGTACTCACCTGTAAATACTCACCTGCCTGTAACACCTGTAAATACTCACCTTTTGGACCCTGGATCAGCTCCTCCACGCCGAAGTCTTATCCCCAACCTGTAAGAACAAATCATACATATCTCTCTGCAATTAACTTTTTGGACATCCTGCTAAAATACTCAACCTCTGCAAACCCTCTCCTTCCAGGTCCTGACTCCTGCACCCGTTCCTGTAAAATACACTGCTCAAAAAAAATAAAGGGAACACTACTGCTCAAAGAAAATAAAGGGAACACTTAACGCACGCAAACTCCCGATCTTAATCAATGAAATATTCGCATTGAGTTCTTTGTTCTGTACAGAGTTGAATGTGCTTCACAAAAGTTTGATTTACTTGGACTTAGCGTGCGTTGTTTAAGTGTTCCCTTTATTTTTTTGAGCAGTGTACATTTTTTCGTTTTGTCTCCGACTCTTTTGTCTTTGGTATTAGCTCACTTAAATTTTTTTTGTAAACCTGAAAAAAAAATTTGTTCATTTTTTTAAACAGTTCTGTTGAACCACATTTCAAAAGCAATGACTGATTCCATTATTTCACTTTTTGTATTTTTCTCCCTGTCTATTACTTTTGACAGTTTTGAGTTATTTCCGTGACCTTCATGTGTTTTCTTTCTTTAAAATAAAAATCTGTTTTTCTGTGAGAAATGTCTGAATCTCTGAATAAACACCAGATATGAAAATCTGTAAAAATTGACTGCATTTTTGTGTTTTCTAAGGTCACTTGGCTGTGGCAAAAACTTTGAATTGTCTCCAAAGTTAATCGATTTTAGATGTACGTTCAGGGATTATTTCTTGAAAGTTTCATTAAAATCTTTTTCTGGCTGTGCCCAAAACACAAAAACAGAATCACAAGCCCACCTGTTTATGTAATTTAGGTTTTTAAACACTTAGCTCTAATCCTTTAAAAAAAGAGAAGGTAGTTAAGATGTTTGAAGGTGGCAGGATGTGAGAGCTAAACTCTTCTCTAACCTGCATGCTCTGCAGCACGTTGAGGAAGTCGTTCATGCCGGTCAGGTCCCCGAACATCTTTGAAGCTGGCCACCAGCAGGGTGGGAGTGATGGCCAGCGGGTCAGCAAAACGAGACCAACGCAGGTTCAAGAAACTCTGAGAAGAGAAACAAATCTGAGATGATTACATCTGGCCACAAGAGGTGATCAGAAAATGACTCAGGAGTTTCAGAAGAAGCCAGAACACATCTGACCTGTTTGTAGGTATTACTACTTTAGTACTTTTACATGTGTGTACAAAAGACCAAACTCTTCAAAAGAAAAAAATCCTATCTGTACCTCCTGTGATAAAATCCATCCATTCTTTATCTGTGGCTTATTCCGAGTCGAGTCTCTGGGGCAGGAGCTTCAGCAGGGACATCTCTCTCCTCAGCCTCCTCTTCCAGCTCTTCTGGGAGGACTCCAATGTGTTCACAGGCCAGTAGAGAGACAAAATCTCCAGCCTGTCCAGGGTCTCCCCTGTAACCTCCTCCCAGCTGGACATGCCTGAAGCACCTCGTTATGGAGGCGTCAAAGAGGTATCCTTACCAGATGCTCAAACCACCTCAACTGGCTCCTCTCAACATGTAGGAGAAGCAGCTCTACTCTGAGTCTCTCCTGGAGAACTGAACTTCTCAGCCTATCTCTCAGTGAGAGTCCAGCTACTCAGAAAAAAAAAAAATTTTCAACCGCTTGTATCCACAATCTTGTTCTTTCAGTCGCTACCCAAAGTTCATGACCATAGGTGAGAGTAGGAACATAGACGGGTTGGTAAATGGTAAATGGTACTGAACTTATAGAGCGCTTTTCAAGTCCCTCTGGACCCCCAAAGCGCTTTACACTAACAGACATTCACCCATTCACACTCACATTCACACACTGATGATGGCAARCTACAYTRTAGCHWCAGCTGCCCTGGGGCACACTGACAGAGGTGGGGCTGCCATGCATCGGCGCCACCGGACCCTCTGACCACCATCAGTAGGCAAGGTGGGTGAAGTGTCTTGCCCAAGGACACAACGACTGAGACGGCTGGACGGGGGATCGAACCAGTAACCTTCTGGTTCCAGGACGACTCCCCTAACCACTCCGCCACAGCCGCCCCACAAAGAGCTTGTCCTTACAGCTCAGCTCCCAGTACACAATAACAACTGAGTCTACAAAAGTGCAGAAGTAGCATCAATCCATCTGTTAATCTCACGCTATGTCCATATAAGTTATGAACAGAATCTGACAATGGCCAATCCAGGTGGAGTCCAACTCAATCTCTGAAGGGGTCTGACTTACTGCCACCAATGCAAACCAGACACTTGCACCACTTGTATAAGGACTGAATGGCCCGTAACAATAGACCCTCAGTGTGCCTCAAGGAACACAGTCAAATCCCTTCTCAGAATCCACAAAACAAATATAGACTGAATGGGCAAACTCCCACGACCCCTCGAGGACCCTAGGTGAGAGTAACAAGTTTGTCCAGTGTTACGGCCAAGACTGTAGCCGTATTGTGTTCCTCTTGAATCTGAGATTCAATCATCGAATTGATGCTCTTTTCCAGTACTCCTGAACAGACCTTACCAGGGAGGCCAAGGAGAATGATGCCCCTGTTATTGAAGCACACCCTCCCGCCCCCTTTTTGAAGAGGGGAACCACCACCCCAGTCTGCCAATTCAGTGTCAACCGAGACAGCCCCACAACATCCAGAGCCTTGAGGAAATCAGGGTGGATCTCATCCACACCTGGAGCCCTGCCACCATGGAGTTTTTTTAACTACCTTAACATCCTCAGCTCCAGTTATGGACAAACCTATCCCAAAGTCCTCAGACCCTGCTTCCTCTGTAGAAGACATCCTGGTGGGATTAAGAAGGTCAGAGAAATTTTTCTAGAAATATTCCTTCCACCTCCCAACAACATCACTGATAAAGATCAACAGCAACCCACCTTCACTGAGCACAGTTAGTGAAGTGATGCTTCCCTCAGCCACCGGATGGTTTGCCAGAATCTCCTCCGAGCTGATCGAGAGTCTTTGTCCAAAGTCTCACCAAACTACTCCCACATTTGAGCTTTTGCCTCAGCTACTGCCGAGGCTGCGGGTCACTTGGCCTGCCCATAGTTCTCAGCTGCCTCAGGAGTCCTAACCATCCAACAAAGCCTGATAGGACTTCTTCTTCAGCTTGACAGCTTTCTTTCCCTGGGTGTCCACCACCATGTTCGAGGATGGTTACTATGAGAAGCACCGACAACCTTGCAGCCACAGGTCATAGCAGCTGATTCAACAATTGAGGCGTGGAACATGGCCCACTTGAACTAAATGTCCCCCACCTTGGCTGGTATGCAGTTAAAGTTTATTCAGTGATGTGAGTTGAAGATCTTTGAGTGGGTCTTCTGTCAGATGTTCCCAGCAAATCCTCATTACATGTTTAGGTCTACTGGGTCTGTCTGGCATCTTACCCCATCAACCGATCTAACTCACTACCAGGTGGTGATCGGTTGACAGCTCAGCTCTTTTATTAATCCAAGTGTCCAAAACATACRGCCACAGATCAGATGACATGATTACAAAGTCAATCATTGATCTATGACTGGTGCCACATGCACTTATGGACACTGTTATGTTGGAACATGGTGTTTGTGATGGACAAACTGTGACTAGCACAGAAGTCCAACAACAAAACACTGCCCAGGTTCAGATCGGAGAGGCTGTTCTTCCCAATCAYACCTCTCCAGGTCACACTGTCATTACCCACGTGAGCATTAAAGCCCCTGGCAGAAAAAAGGAATCCCCAGCTGGAGCATCTTCCAGCACCCCTCTAAAGAATCCAGGAGTACTGGAAATGCCAAACAGTCCTTTCATGCATAGGCACAATCGGCCATCAGAAACCGCCCCCCCCTCCTGAAGGCACATGGAAGCTACCCTCTCATCTACTGGGGAAAAATCCAACACACAGGCACCAAGTTAGGGGGCCAAAAGTAGACCCACACCAGTTCAGCGTCTTTTACCATAAGAAACTCCAAAGTAGCCCCTCTTGAGGACATTTGGTTCCGGAGCCCATGCTGTGCGTCAAGTTGAGCCCAACTAGATCTAGTTGGTACCTCTTACCCTAATGCACCAGCTCAAGCTCCTTCCCCACTAGAGAGGTGACATTCCATGTCTCAGGAGCCAGTTTTGGTAAGCCAGGGTCAGAGCGCCATTGGTTAATATCCATGTCTTCATGCACCTGATTCATATGGCCCCTCCTGCACGTGGTGGGCCCACAGGAAAGTAAACCCATGTAGCTCATTCAGGCTAACCCTGATTGGACACCACTGGTAGAGACTCGGACACCAGGTGCTCACCTGATAAAATCTAAGCTGTGAATTTTGCAGACCTGTGGGAGTCTTCCATTTTTGTGGAAAACTAATTTGAGCATCCCACACTAAATTAATAAAACATAGTTAGTAGAGGTGATAAAACCTGGAGCAGTGACCCAACTCACCTGTTATGTTGGGATTGTGTCTTGTCTATGTTCTCCCTCTTGTGTCCTCACTGCGTCATTGCTCATCATTTCTCCTCAGTCTGTATCCTGCTGTTTACCCGTTCAATTATCTCCCAGCTGTCAATAGTTTCCAATTAGTCTTCCTCAGCTGTAGTTCATCTTCTCTCTTCCTCGGTGTGTATAAATTCTCTTCTGTTCTKTCTCCGCTGGATCATTACATGGAATTCTCCTGCTGTCTTGTTGTCCTTCATGTCCTTTTGAGTTTCAGTTTTGTTTTAGCTGCCCTGTCAGCTCTTTTGTTTTGTTTGTTTAATAAATCCTTTTTTATTTAAAAACTTCATCCTCAGTCGAGATCTGGGTTCATTCTGCACCACAACCTGATAGAATGATCCAGCCACAACAAGAACCCACCGGGAGGATGAGTTATTTAGATTTTTTGAGTAGTGATAATTATTTCTCAGCATTTGGGTAAGGGAGAAAGAACCCTGCCAGGAGACGTGGATGAAGGGGCCGTGACCAGGAAGTGGAGGTTCTCCCGTCGCCTCTTCTAGTGGAAGAGGAGGAGCAGAGGAAAATGCAGTTCTGGGGAACTTGCCTGGTGCTCAGGACTGCTCCACCATCTCCACCCTCCCGCTCTCCTCATCACCACTGTTGCCGACGGAGAAAAGCTGCAGCCACGCCGTCGGGATTCAGCTCCATCATGCCTACCGAGAGTGAACCTGAGTATGATCCCGACTACGATCCAGAGAGCGATCCCTTCTGCCCCGAGTATATTGGGTACAGCCCGACCGAG